CTCACCCCCAGCTTCCTGCTCTTCATCTTCACGTAGCCTTGCTTGACGATGTCGTTGAAATTGGTCGCCATGGTCTCCCCCCCCCCGCCCGCCCAGCCGGGGCGCCGGGCCGGGCGCGGGGAGGGCTGCCCAGGTGGCCTGGGTTTCCGGATCCTCCTATCACCTGTTCCAGATCTCCGTCGGCGGGGCCGCGCCGGCCGCTCCTCACCTCGCCCGCCTCAGCATTGTTCTAGCCGCTCCTCTGCCCGGCGCCGGCTGGAAAGAAGAATGACAGGGAGATTAGACAGTGACATCTTTCTCTTCCCCTGGCTGTCTCGCTCTTTTTTTCCTTCCTCTTCCCACACTGCTCCCTCCCTCCTCCCGCCCTCCTTCCTTCCCTTCCCTCCCCACCCCGGGACGGCAGAACCATTCAGGAAAACCGAGGTGGAGGCCGCAGCGAGGAAAATGGTCCAGCCCAGTCCCCTCCCTCACGGCTGGGGCTGGCAGTTAACCCCTTCCTGGGAGGACTGGCGCTGGCTCCCACTATGGAGCTGGGGACAGAGGGAGGGGGCCCGGGAGCTGCGGTCCCGTGTCCCCTGTCCCGTTACAACTCTGGAGCAGACTTAGGGTGACCGACCCAGGGCCAGGCCCCCTCCCATGCCCAGGAACCTCACGGGAGAGCCTTCCAAGAGAGGGGAGGCGGGGGTTCCCAGGAGATGGCACAGAGTCTGGGGTCTGAGTGAATCCCACACCCCCCGAGGTTCGAGGTTCGTTCAGGACAATTTGCCTTGTCAATCTCAGTAGACCCCTCTGCCCCACCCCATTCTATACCTGGTTCTCTCCAGCCCACTCAGGCCCTCCTCCCGGCCCCTGAACTCTTCAGCAGCTCCTCTGGGTGCTGCTTCCTGGGTGGGAGGGCAGAGTCCGGTGGGGCGGGGCGGGGCGGGCCCCCAGATAAGCCTGAGGAATGTGCTGGGCCGGCTGGAGGTGGCCACTGTGGAGGCAGTCACCTCGGCCTGGCACTGTGCTAGGAAAACCGGCTGGTCTGCAGGGCCGCGGGCGCTGCAGTGCCCCACGTCCTGAGCACGGACGGGAGTTAATTAGAGAGAGAACCAGCAGTCACCTGGGCCTGGGGTGGAGGACACAGCTAGAGACCCGTGAGGAGCACCAAGGGGGATGCCAGCAGGGCCGCTCAGAAGCGGGCAGATAAACACATAGCTGGGACGCAGACTAGGGGAGGCGGGGGTGTCTCAGCAATGACGCGGTCCAACATACCCATTCTACAGATGGGGAAAAGAAAGTTGCCCAGAAAGGAGAAGCAGCAGGGCTGAGGTCACACAGCAAGTCTAGGGCGCAGCCAACGATGAATGAGAAGTCTCGGACCGGGTGATGGAGGCAGGCCCAGGGGGGTGGGAATGTCCTGCGGACACCTCCGGCTGCCTACCAGCACTGAAGCCCTCTCTGCCCCCCAGGCGCAGCAACACGGCCCCCCGTGTCTCCAGGATTGCTAGGTGGGAACTAGGCACCATTTCTGGGGTCGGCTGGGCGTCTGTGCTGTCAGGATGAAGCCCTGGGGCCGGCGTGCTGCTGCATCTGCCAGCAACATGGCATTAATTCTCTCCCGAAGGACTGTCTGCTGAGTCCCTAACAAGGAACAGATGGGCCTACCCCAGTGGGCACACACAAACAAGGGGAGGGGCGGAGAGGGTAATGCTCCCCTAGCCCACCTGCACCTGACAGCCTCTTCAGCACACCCTCAGCTGCCTCCCTGCCCACTCACTCCCGCTAGCCCAGCTCCCTGGGGTCCAAGGCCCTCCCAGATGGGACACCCCAGGGCTCTGCTTTCCGCCTGTAAAGTCTGGTCTAGGCTCCCCTCCCCAGCACTGGCCCCAAGCAGCCCTGCCACACCTGGGCTCTGGCCGGCAGAGACTGGAAAGTCGGCGAGGACCCCCCTCCGTAAAATTCCCCTCCAAGAGGACAGCAGGCTGGCCACTGGCCACAAGGCCTCTGGGTTCACTCAAGGCAATCTGGGATGTGGCACAGCCAGGAATGTGAATCTAGCGGCCTGGCGGCTCTGGGTACCCACTTCACTTCTCTGTGCCTCAGTTTCCCCATCTACTTTAAAAGAGGAAATAAATCCATGGGCATCTGCCCACTTGGGACCCAGAGCTTCTGCCTTGAAAACTAAGGCTACTTTTATTTTAAAGGCTGTGAAACCACCATAACCAAGCCTTCCACCTGCCCAGTGCAGGCCCCTTGTCACGGCTCCACCGACCGGCTACCTTCCCAAGCGACTGTGATGCCAAGCTCTCAGCACACTGCCGTGTCCGCCTGTGCGCAGGCCCACGCCCCAGGCCCTAGAGTCAGCCCCGCAGAAATAAACCAGCGGAAGAGCAAGCTGACACGGGAAGCCTGGGTAGCAAAGGGCTTGGCGGCTCACCTGGCCACACTCAGTCCCTAATGGAGTCTGCAAGACCAAGGCCCAGCCTGGGAGCCACAGGGGTACAGCAAAGGGGAGTAAGGGAGGGAGGGGGAAAGGCCAACAGGTGGACCCACAAATCTGACGGGCAGCGGGATCAGGCGTGGGGGGTACATCCCCTGAGGGACTGCACTGCGTGGAGCTGGAGAGGGAGGCCCCGGCGGGGCGTGTGGCTCCGTGGTGCTCGGAAGGCCAGGAACAGGGCTGAGGCCACTTTCCCCATCACTGCTGAGCTCCCACCTGCTCGGCCTCTCACGAGCCCGCTCGTGGCCGGGAAGAATGCCCCACTCCTTCAGGGCCTGAGGTCTCGGGCCTGGGAGCTCAGCTCCGAATACCCCGAAAAGCTAAGCAGAGTGCCCAGCAGGGCCCCCCATTCCCCCCTCCGAGCTCGGCGTCAACATGGCCGCTCAACCAGACACAGGACCCACCCTGAGCCGGGCCACTAAGGGCTCCTGTCCAGAGAGGGCCCTTTCCCCAGCTCTCCCCAGGAAGGGCAGGGGTCCTGCGGGGCAAGGGCACGGAGACTCCCCGGTGCCCAGCAGAGCAGCGGGGACAAGGCCCATGCCCACCTGCCCCCTAGGGCAGAAGCACGCCCTCCCTGCACCTCGATTCTGCCTGGGGGCTTTGGCTCTGGGACAGACGCTACTTGCTGCTGTGGGCAAAGCAATGGCTGAGCAGGAGCAGCTGCCTGCCTGGCTGGGCCCCCCCACCCCAGGACAGACAGGATCCTATCAGGGCTTCAGGGACAGCCCTACCTGCACCCGCTGTCATCTCGCCATCTCACCCCCTGCAAAGATCCTATCGGCAGGATTCTCTCTGGCACCAGGGATATTTCCCATCACCTCTACTGGGGCCCTCTCCCCTCCAGCGTGATGCTTATCAGGGGCCAGGACGGGATTCCCCCATCCTACCCTCTGCCTCCACCCCTGCAAACCCCCTCACGGGGAACCACCGCCCCTAACACGGCAGGTCTCATCCCAGGTGGGTGGCAAAAACAGATCTGGACAGAGAGGAACAGAGGGAGGAGGGAACATCTGCACAGCCACGGTGTCCTGGGCCCTTAAGTCAGGAAAGTGATGCTATGCTGGCGCACAACGCCTCCCTGCTCTCTCCTGGTCCCTCGCCCAACGCTCCGGGCTCATCTCCCCCTGCAATGTATGCATGGGCACCTTCTATCCGTTCCTCAACATGCCTAAATCCTTCCCACGCAGGACCCCTGCACTAGCTGTTCCACGCCTACAACACTGTTCGCTCAGACGGTCCAAGGTTCATTCTACCGCCTCATTCAGGTCTCAGCTCAAACGTCACCTCCTCTGAGAAGCCTTCCCTGACCACCCTGGCCAAAGAAGCCTGCCAGTCAGTCTCCATCCAGCCTCACTGTCTTCCATCACACACATCACTATAGGGTTGTCTTCTTCCTTCATCTCTTCCTTTGCTGCTCGGCCACTCTCTGTCTCCTAGAACACTCTAGAACATCAGTGCCTTGTCTGTCTAGTTATATATAGCTCCATGCCAGTGCACAGACTGGTGCCTAGTGCAGAGTAGGTGCTCAATAATTGGGGACTGAAAGCATAATTGTCTCCAGGATTTGTCCTCCTCCTCCCTCCCACCGCCACTCATATCCACCTGGCAGGACCCAGCTCAACTTCCAGAGGCCTGGAAGCAGCGACGGGCTCCCCCTTCCCCGGGTCCCAGGGCTTTCACAGGGCTGACCGCCATGGCCAGCAAACTGTTGTTCCTGGAGAACCAGCCGGGCCCCAGACCCAGTTGAGTTCAAAGCTGCCTCGGGGGAGAGAGTACTGCTGACGCTGCGTCCAGGCCTGGCCAGGCTGCCTCGACCTTGGTCAGAGTTGTAGGGTAGGGTGTCCTGCCCGGTAAGGAGGATTGAAAAGTAGGCAGCACCCAAGCACACAGAGGTCAGCAACGGGGTGGGAAGGGGCACAGCTCCTGACAACCCATCCTGGAAGGGGGGCAGAAATGGCCTGCGCTTGAGCCCCATCTCTCTGCCAGGGGCTAGAAGAGAATCCGCACTAAACAAGACCAGCCTCTAACCACTGCCGTGAATCCTGCTGGGCCTCTCTCACTGCCCTTGACTTGCAGCCCCCTAAACCCCAAATGCTCCATCCAAGTGTCCTGGCAACTGCCATGCACCCACAGCGTGGGACTGGCCTGCACAGAGGCCCTGCTCTGCCCACGTCACCCAGGTGCTCAGCCTCTGCGCATTTCTCTTTGCTGTGACAAAAAGCATTTAACTGGAAGCAGGGCCTTGGGGGCTCCGGGGGAGAAGGTGGGCAGTCCCCCAGGGCCAGGGGAGTAAGGTTCAAGGAAAAGAGGGGAGCTGGCCATGAGTTTAAGTTGTAGGATAGCAACCATTTGCAGGTGCGGGTGGGCAGTTTTGCAGCTGGGGTAGAGAAGTCTCTTGGAATTTGGGGAAGTTGAGAGAGAGCAGGCCATGGGGAGCAGGAAAGTGGGGAGGATGGGGGCTGCGATGGGCTGGGATATCCCCTTGGGGATGGCAGGCCCAGAACAGCGAGCACAGGGGTCTGGGCGTCTCCAGCTTGTGTGGGGCAGGGGTGAGGGCAGGCCCCGACCTGGGCTCCCCTGGAGAGGAGAGCTGGGGTAGGTGGAGCTCGGGGAGAGTTTCAGGGTCCCGGGTGGGGGCGGGCGGCCCAGGGGGCGCTTTTGCGGGCGGGTCCCCGAGGGCCCCTCCGCCGACAGGGTAGGTAGGTCCCATGGGCTTGGAGAGTTCCCGGGCTGGAGTCGCCGAGGGTCTCGCGGGCTCGGGCGCGGCCTAGGGCCCCCTCCCCGCCTCGCGCCCCCCAAGTTACCTGGGCGGCAAGGCCCGGGCCCGGGGCGCTTGCTCGGCGGGCGGCGGGCCAGGCTCATG